TTAGGTTTTTTTCCTTTTCCTTTCCTTTGTTCATAGCATACATATCTCATTCGCTTGATAATGCACATATCTCTCTATCGTACCCAGGACCCCCGTATTATGTGATGCCTTCTATATTTACAACTTCGCAACCTCTTGCAGAATCCTCAGATCTCCTCTGCTCAAATCTGCCAAACTCTTCTTACCCAGATTGGCAAGCGAATTATCAGTATCAGCCAGTAGACAATCCAGCACATGCTTCACACCCTCTTCGCCGCCCATGGCAAGTCCATATGCATACGGACGGCCTACAAGCACCGCTTTGGCACCCAGCGCCAGCGCCTTGAGTACATCCGACCCGGTCCTAATCCCCGAATCGAAGAGAACAGTCAAACCACTGCCCTTCACCTTCTCATCCGCCGTAATCTCCGCCAGCGCATCGAGCGACCCAATGGCGCCGTCAAGCTGGCGTCCTCCATGGTTCGAGACGACAATACCATCCATCCCATATTCAATCGCGCGATGTGCATCCTCAACCGTCTGAATCCCCTTGAGCACAATGGGCCCCTTCCACAGCGACTTGAGAATCTTCAGCTGACTCCAATCCCTATACGTACCTGACGCCACCAGACTCGTAAAAAACATGGCCTTCTTCATCACCGACGCATGCGCCAGGACCTTGGCCGCACCCCCAATACTCCCTGGTCTCTTAAGAATCTGCCATATTTCCGCGACTTTCTCGGCCACCGACCGCGTATCGCGCGCTTGTTCTTCGGCGAAGAGCTGGTTGAAAACGGGATCTGAGAAGGCGACTTGGCAGCCCTGGCCCCAGACAAAGGGGAGATACGAGGTGTCGAGGTCGTTGGGGCGCCAGCCGATGACAAAGGTATCAAGGGTTACCACGAGGACTTTGTATCCGTTTCCCCACGCGCGCGAGAGGAGGGATGCGGTGAAGGTTTCTGCAGAGGGTTTGGGCCAGTAGAGTTGGAACCAGCGGTCTCCGGTTTCGCCGTTTGCGGCGGCGACTTGCTCGATGCTGCGGGTGGCGGCTGTAGACAGGATCATGGGGATTTTGGCGGCGGCGCAGGCGCGCGCTGTGGCTTCTTCGCCGTCCTGGTGTAGGATTTCTTGGACACCGATCGGTGCGGCGAGGAGTGGGCTGGGGTATTTGGTGCCGAAGAGGGTGACGCTCATGTCGCGCCGGGTGACGGGGACGAGCATCTTGGGAAGGAGGCGGTAGCGCGAGAAGGCGGAGAGGTTGGAGCGGTAGGTATCTTCGCTACCGGCGGAGCCGGCGACATAGAGGAAGTTGGGGAGAGGAATTGCGGCACGGGCGCTGGCTTCCCATTGTGAGGGTTTGGTGGAGTATTTGGGCGAGTGGAGGGAGGAGTAGATGTCGCGTTGGTAGGAGGAGTAGGATGTTGGGTCTGGTTCGTAGTCTGTTGTTTCTGCTGTTTTGGAAAGCACTTTTGTGTCCGCCATTTTGGGAGGAAGGTATTAGTTTTTTGAATTATTTTTTGAGTGTTACACAAATGCGACTGTTTGCATGGTTTGTTGCAACCGTGGAGATGGGATGATGCGTGGAAATGCGGAGGACGCGATCGATCGACGCGGAGGTGTGGGGGGCCAATCTAGCGCGAGGGTTGACATGCCGAGGCTCCCCACTACCCGCGTTTGGGCCAGCCAACATTGGTATTTCGTTGTTACTCTCTTACTCGTGTTCTTTTTCCTCGTCTTGTGAAGTGGGAAACAGATGTGTTGGTATTGATTGGGGATGGAAAAACCACCGCGGTTCACTTGCCTGTAGCGGACATGTAAACATGTTTGTAAATAAGACAGGTGTTAAGGAGCAGACACCACGACCCACACTCGGGCAGGAAAGAATTGGTTGCTCGAAAGGCTCCTCACCGCCCAAAACGCAGTTCCCAAACGGCCAGTAATGCAATAAAAACATCAACTCTTCATGATACACTTTAGTTTTCATCTACGTTATTCATATCGTTACTGCGGCCACAATGTCAGCGTCTACATTTTGGGCCTTTGTAGTAGCCGTCGTTATAGCTATACTTTCAGCACAATACAGCGTCTACAATATCTCGTTCCTGTCAGCAATAGGCCCCTCGCTTTATGCTCAGATTCTTTGCCCAACGGTAACTACATATCCTGGCTATCTGGGTTATGGAGGCGCTGAGAAACCTCATCATTCGAGCTGGGACGCTTGGTGGCACCCACAACGCAGCCATGGCAGAGGCGATAAGAGCAAGGATAGTGCAGGAGTGATGACGAAGGGCTGGAATATCTTGTATCACCTTGGTGGTAATGGGCCGTGGGTTGAGAAGGTGATTGATGTTGTCGAGGGGGGCATCGCAACGCCTGAGGGATGCGAGGTGGTGCAGGTTCACATGGTACGTATCTGCTCACTATTGTTGTTGGAGTACTGGCCATTAGTGGCCCTGATCCTGCAATTACTAACGTCTTTATGAAGATGGCTCGCCATGCTGAGCGATATCCGACGAAGAGAGCTGGCAGTGGTGAGTGAGCATGTAGCTATGGGTTTGATATATGCTTACCATATCTACAGCTCAGAAAGCCGTCGTTCTGCGTATGAGAGAATCGAGCAAGGATTTCACCGGCACCTTGTCATTTTTCAATGAATGGGAACTCTTCTGGTCTTCAGGTACGTCCTTTATTCACCCAAAGTTTCATTTCGCACTTACTAAATGAAAATAGATGAAGAAGATCTGGAGCAACTCACATCCACTGGTCCCTTTGCCGGAACACTCGGCTCCTTTACTACAGGAGTTCGCCTCCGTACTCGCTACCGACATCTAATTGACCAAGCTGCGACCATTCATCCGGATCATCCTACTACCTTTTGGGCCAGTGGCTCCAACCGTGTAATTGAAACAGCGAAACACTTTGCTGCAGGCTTCTTCGGACTTGATTATGTTAGCAAAAATACAGCGAACCTTTCGGTCATATCGGAGCACTCCTCACTCGGTGCAGATACGCTAACACCCGGACGGACTTGCATCGCCAATAAGAAAGACAAAGAGAATGGCCAGCCAAAAGGATATCGTCTTATGCGTAGATACCGCTCTACTTACATGCCTCCTATCCGCAAACGCCTTCTCGAACAAACAGGCATGGAGTTTAATGACGAAGAGATCTACGCCATGCAGGAAATGTGTGGGTTTGAAACCACGGTTCGCGGACGGAGTGATTGGTGCAATGTGTTCACGCAAGAAGAGTTTCTCGGCTTTGAGTACGCAAGAGATATCTTGCACTACTACCGCGCCGGGCCAGGACAAAAGTATGCAAAGAGCATGGGGTGGTTGTGGGTGAATGCTACAACAAACTTGCTATTGGAAGGCCCAGAAGAGGCAGGCCCATTGTTCTTCAGCTTGTGAGTTTCCCACCTCTTTATAAACTCAGTAGCCGAGAACATAGAACGGGAACTAACACGACACTAAAAATAGTGTTCACGATGGTGATATTGCACCCATGATCTCCGCACTTGATGTCATCAACGACGAAGAGCATCTTCCCATTACACATATCCCCCACAACCGCAAATGGCGCAAGTCCCAAGTCTCCCCGATGGGCGGCCGTATCATCTTCGAATTACTCTCATGTAAAACAGGCAGTGGTGACGATAGCCCTCGAGAGAAATTTGTCAGGCTCAACATCAACGACGGTATCACGGCCTTACCGGACTGTCACAGCGGGCCAGGCAAGAGTTGTCCTTTGAATGAATTTTCCGAGAGGACGAAGAAGAAAGGCGAGGAAGTACAAGAGTTCAAGGACTTGTGTGGATTAAGTGATGACGCAGCCAAGAGGATAACATTTTTGAGTCAGAAAAAGGATAATGAGTAAAGGTGGTAGTGACGGACGAACACATGGCTGCTCCTTGTGTATGCCAAGGTCTTGAATGGAGAGAAAAATTTCAAAGTGGCTAGGTTATGGCGGGGTAACCATGCTGTGCGAAACCATCTGCACCGAGATGAGATGAGATGAACAGTTGTCTTGGAAAAAGATATGTTCCAAGCACCGAAGTTCGTCCTCTGCAAGTAGTGAAACCAGACTACTTTCTTACTTCGCTCCCTTTCATTTCCCGATCCAGAGAACGGCTACATACATGAGTTCCACGATTTGGGGCTGTAAATGAAGACAAGGGAGTTGATTTAGGCATCTTGAAACATGCCTTGCAGTATTCGCTAGGAATCTATGTCTTGGAGGCACAACCCTGTTACACAAAGTTCATGCATGCACTACTTAGCTAGAGAAGTGGGGCTGCCCAATCTCTTAATACAAAATTGTATGCGTTAAAGTAAAATAATATGTACTTACATCAAGCGAGTGAGTTTACTGGAAGACATGTTTTAATACATGCAGATCCTATGGGCAGGAAGGTGAGTGGGTTGGTCGGAGCTATATGTGTACAGTCGTGAGCAAAATCAGTTTCAAAGCTTTTGCACTAAGTATTATACAGTACTTACTTGATCTCGCAGCACGGGTCTCCTAGGTAACAAGGAGAGTTCTTACTTTTTATTGGTGACTTGCAGGTACATTCCCGTAATTTGCAAACGTTCTCATCATTCCATATGGCTTTAATGATGCAGCTGGTGCCGCAAATCAGCCTGGCACTCTAGGTAGGCAGACAAATTAGGCGATATGTCAGGTTTTCGTGCTGCACCAGCGGGCTGTGCTACAGAATTGCCAAGTGCCCCACCCAGCTGAACAACCTTACGTTCTTATCAGGCTGAGGATGCTATCCCAACATCTCTATCCACACTCGAAGCACTCGGAAAAATGCAGTAATGAGCTTTGGGTTCAGCGTTGGCGACTTTCTGGCGGTGATTGGACTGGTCAGCAAGATTAGGAAAGACTTCGTTGGCGCTCCAAGCCATTTTAAGGACATATCCAACGTGTATGTGACAGCCATAGATGAAAGGACCATACTGATACAGTTGATATATAGGCTCCGAAGCCTTTCTATTGTCCTGAACGATGCTGAAGTAATGGTATCCGAACACGAACTCAACCCTCAAGAGGAAACAGATTTCCGAGATGTTCTTGATGGTTGCCAACATACTCTTGGCAAGCTTCAACACACAGTAGACAAGTATATCGTGCTGGACTCACAGCAAACGAGCGTCGGCGGCAAGCTGAAAAGAGCATGGAAGCGACTATCTGTAGAGCCAGAGGACATTCGCGATCTTCGGAGTGATGTCAACGTCAATATTGATCTACTCGCCACACTAACCGGGCGACTTACTCGAGACAACACCTTCAAATTAGTGCGGTATCAAGAAGACAAGGAGCAACAAGCCATCCTTGACTGGCTAACACCGACTGACTACACTCCTCAGCAGAACGACTTCCTCAAGCAGTGGCAAGCTGGATCTGGGAAATGGCTTCTAGACTCGGCGAAATTCAAAAGCTGGTTAGGGATCAAGAAACAGACACTTTTCTGCCCAGGTATACCAGGAGCTGGGAAGACAATACTCACATCAATTGTAGTAGACGAGCTTTCTTCACACTTCAAAGACGAAAGCAACAATGGTATTGCATACATCTACTGCAACTTCAAGCGGCAAGACGAGCAAACGTTGGAAGACCTACTCGCAAGCGTACTGAAGCAGCTAGCTCAAGCAAGATCTTCTCTTCCACAAACTGTCAGGTCTCTCTATGACAAACACAGATCTATGAAGGCCCGGCCTTCGATAGATGACATATCAGTGGCCCTTCATTCCGTGGTTGCTGAGTTTTCGCGAGTTTTCATCCTTGTCGATGCGCTGGACGAATGTCGAGTCAATGACAGTTGCCGAGCGAAGCTACTTTCACAACTCTCACAACTCCAGACGAGCTGTGGAGCGAATCTTTTCGCAACTTCAAGATTCATTCCGGACATCACAAAGACATTTGAACGAGACACATGGTTGGAAATCCGCGCCAGCAAGCACGACATCCAGAGATATGTAGAAGGTCATATCGATGAACTGCCGGGTTTTGTCCGACGTGATCTGGATCTACAGCAGGAAATTAGTTCTGAGATCGTCAAAGCTGTCGATGGCATGAATGTAGCTTCTTAACCCGTTCTTGAAGATTTTACTAACTGTAATAGGTTTCTACTTGCAAAACTTCATCTCAATTCCTTAAAAGGAAAAAGATCCCGAACAGCTATTCGAGATGCTCTGAGGACTTTGCCCACCGGAACAGAATCATATAGTTGTGCGTATTCTGATGCTATGGCGAGAATCGAGGGGCAGCTACCGGACGAAGCAATGCTTGCGAAGGAAGCTCTGTCATGGATCACTTGCGCAAAGAGGCCACTGACCACCATAGAGCTTCAGCATGCTCTTGCTGTCGAAGACGGGCAAGAGGAATTCGACGAAGACAACAAATCAGACATCGAGGATATTGTTTCGGTATGTGCTGGACTAGTCACTGTTGATGAGGAGAGTGGCATTATTCGCTTAGTGCATTACACTACACAAGAATACTTTGAACGGACACAAAAGGACTGGTTTCCAACCGCAGAATTCGACATCACGATGATCTGTGTAACCTATCTCTCATTCGCGGTCTTTGGAAGCGGATCTTGCCACACAGACTCTAGCTTTGAGGAGCGGCTGCAACTGAACCCATTATACGACTATGCTGCGCACTACTGGGGTTACCATGCTCGTCAGGCCCGGAGTGCACATCCGAAAGTCATCGAATTCTTCCATCACGAAACTAATATGGAAGCTGCATCCCAAGCAATGCAAGTCCGTAAGAAGTTCTCATGGGATGATCGCTATAGTCAATCTTTTACGAGGCGAATGACAGGACTGCACATATGTGCATATTTTGGAATTACAGACGTAGCTGCGGCAATTATTGATTTTGCAGACCTCGAATCGAGGGATGAATACGGCTGGACACCGCTATTTTGGGCCGCCGAAAACGGGCACGAAGGCGTAGTTAAGCTACTGCTAGATACTGGCAAGGTTGAGGCCGACTTAGAAGATAGATATGGCAATACGCCGCTATGGTGGGCTGCCAGAAACGGGCACGAAGGTTCAGTTAAGCTATTGCTAGATACAGGCAAGGTTAAGATCGATTGGAAGGATACATACGTTCAGAGGATGCTATGGCGGACCGCCAGAAGCGGGCAAGAAGGCGTAGCTAAGCTACTGCTAGACGTTAGTAAGGCTGAGGTCAACTGGGAGAATGACCGTCAGATGCTGCTATCGCTGGCCATCAAAAGGGGGCGCGAAGGCGCAGTTAAGCTACTGCAGTCCGCTTGTGCTTCGTAGCGCGTTGTTCACTTGGAATAATATCAACCTCCCCACACATCGCCTTACAAGGCAGCGTTCCCCATATATCCAAAACAAGGTGCTCTACAACATCCTTTGCTTTGGGATTCAAATGACTAAAAAAAACATCCGCTATACTCGTTGAGACGTAGTATATATATAATAGCTGCTGCGGTGTACGTACACATGTTGAACGACATAAGAGATAGCTGTCAAGGCACAAGCTTTAGATTAGGACTCAGCGTACGAAACTAAGCCAAGCAGAGGGTAGCTCGATAGAAGGGCCTGTTTGACTTGCTATAGAACCAAATGTGGGGTATACTTTGGTCCCTAGCGTGTAACTGGAGCTAATTCGCAGCACAAGCCAAAGTACAAGACCTGGAAACCGATATTGGTTAGCATTGGACATGAATTTCAAAGTTTTCAAATACTTTTGTCTATTTTAAGCTGTCTGTTTCAAGACGCTTGCTAGTACCTTTTGCACATATCCTCTACACCAGCTCCTTCGGATATGCGGCAATCAACCTGAAACGCTCAAGTCAAGAATCATTAGAATATGTTCATAGTTGTATACTCGCATGAGTTTGGTCTGGGCATCCTAGGCGGAGAGAAACAATGCCGAGATAAGAGCGCTACGGTGCCCATTTTATCGGCGAGACTGACGGTAAGCTAGTGTTGAAGACTGCGGGTACCTGCAAACGGCATCATGCTTGGATGGTTCTGCCCCGCAAGTTTGGTGCATTACAGCCCCGAACCAACCAACAGCGCCTATCTGCTAAATGCGTGTGGAGTTAGTAAATTCCAGAAGTAGTTATTTTCCTTGATTAGTTGTCAAGGTGACAAAGCACGCTCGGACCCACCAAACCTTTGCCTTCTTTCGCATTGTTACGTTCTCATTTACATGTTCCCACACCCACACAGCGCCATCGGTCTGACGCCTCTTCCTTCAAAGGCCAAGGCATCGCGAGTCATACTATAGCCGAAATAGTAAGCTATCAGTTTACAGAAGCCATCATGTGTCGGTCGCCCTCACCGCATGCCGAACACAGACTTTCTTTGGCTAGGTACACCCGTTCTACTTACATAGTTGATCAGTCAACAGCAACTAAGTAGAATTGCGCCATCAGCACTAAGCAGTTGCTGCAAAAATAGATGCAACATACTGACCGTATACTAATCCTATCGGCGCAACGAAAATGAATAAATTGGCCGCACAGGAGGGGTGTCAACTTGATTGCGACAAGCCGACAACCACTGCACATGATAATGACAGCCACATCTGAACATCTCCAAGCCTTTGCGCCCCTCAGTTGGGCCACACCATACCTTACATCTCCCCAATGGATGGTTTGCGACCGCGAACGAGGGTCCGAGCCTGGGGAAGATACGGACCGATTCTGTCGTGACACAATGCGCGCAAACCACGGTGTGCAACACTGGGTCGAGCTACACGAGCGGCCTAGTAACCCCGGCGGAAAAATTATGAAGTCAATTTCTCTAATAAAGTTTGGCACGGGCCTAAACGGCTTTCCTGGAATTTGCCACGGAGGGGCACTCTTCACGCTCATGGACGAAGCAATGTGCTACATTGTTGTTGCGAACACGGTGGTTGAGCACGGGGTCGCATTCATGAAGGCTGGCGAGGAGCAATGGCGACTCCAACTTTTCCACGGTAAATCGGCACAAGAAGTTCTTAAGGGCCGTTTGGTAACGGCAAGCATGGACACCAGGGTGCTAGTCCCGGTGCTTTGTCCAGGAATCGTAGGCATTGAGACGGACGTTTTGGAAGATAAGGGAAACAAGATGCGGATAAGAGCTATTATGAGGGATCGACAGGGCAAGCCCGTCGTTCAAGCCGAGGGCTTGTGGGTGCGAGTAGGAGGTGCAGCAAAGTTGTAATGACGTTTATCTGCAAGGGACCAAGATGTGTCGAGACGGCGCACACGCATAGAGTCAATGTAATGGTTCCTGGAGGTCGACATGGAGGCCAGTTTGTCCTTCCACAATAGTGCATTACCATAAACACGTGTGCTGGGACCCCGGTCAATGTCGCATCAACATCGGGCACGCTAGCCGCTACTGGATTGACATGTACTGGTCCTTACTGTAAAGGCATCCCTCTCCGACAATACCTGTGCCTCCGACGGACAAGGCGCAGTCAGTTTAACGCACATGCCAACAATCTTTACTTCTAGTCGTTAGTGACGTCTAAGTGCGCCTGACCTATCTTGAACCCCACCCATACAGCCATTTACAATGGTTGTGAATGTTTCTGTTTGTATAAGAGCGATGATCTATCACCAGATTCTGAGGATTGTCCTCTACACAGCAGCAAACCTGACCACTCCTTCGCTTTTTTCAAGATGCATTCCATCCTTGCCTCGGCCGTTGCCCTCTCTTCATTGCTCCCTCTGAGCCTCGCTCAGACTTCGGGCACATTGAACACTCTCACATTTAACGTTGCTGGCCTTCCCGCTGCCCTCAATGGCAACGATGTCCCTGGTGACAAGACGACCAACACTGCTCGTATCGGAGAGCTTTTCACAAAATACAACATCTCGCTCATCCATGTTCAAGAGGACTTCAACTACCACGCTACCCTCTATGCAAGCGACAAGCATCCATTCCGAACAGCCACTAGCGGTGGTGTACCTTTCGGTAGCGGCCTGAACTCGCTGAGCAACTATCCTTTTACCAGCTTTAACAGGGTTAAATGGAACACTTGCAGTACTTTCGAGTAAGTTCGATAAATTTAAGGGTGAAACTTGATACTAACAGTACTCCCTCAACAGTAGCGCAGACTGCCTTACACCCAAGGGCTTCACTGCCATGCGAGTGAAGTTCGCCGAGGGCGTCGTCATCGACGCATACAACCTGCACGCAGACGCTGGGTAAGTCTTAATTGAAACATCAATGCCTCAACTAGCAACTAACAAATCCAAAGTACCACGGACGCCGACAACAAAGCCCGAGCAGACAACCTCCGCCAAGTCTCCGACTACATCAAAACCTACTCCATCGGCAACCCGGTCATCGTCTTCGGCGACTCAAATTCTCGCTACACACGCACCGACGACATCCCCGCCGTCTTCAAGGAGCAAAACGGCATGACGGACGTCTGGGTCGATCTCATCAAAAAGGGTGTGCCCCCCGCCAAAGGCGCAGACGCCCTCCTCTGCTCCAACCCCTCGACCACCAACGAGTGCGAAATCGTGGACAAAACCTGGTACCGCGGCTCGGCCGCCGTCAAGCTCACAGCCAAGAAATTCGACTACGCAGGCCACATGTTCCTCCAGGACAACGGCGACATCCTCAGCGACCACAACGGCGTGCTCGTCGACTTTGACTGGGCCGCCGTCGACCGCTTTACTCTCTCCGACGCTTTCGGCGGCGAAGGCGGAAACTGGTTTAACGATCTCGATACCGTTGCTGGTGTTAGCGGCGCTAAAGTCGCGTCGGTCACGCTTCGTGGGGCTGACCGCGTCGACAGTATTGCGTTGAAGCTTGCTTCTGGCCAGACTCTTTCGCATGGCGGTACTGGTGGCACGGAGACTAGCTTGACGCTGGCGAGTGGAGAGACGCTGATGGCTGTGACGATGTGTCAGGGCCAGAGGAACGGAGATAACCGCCTCTTCTACGTTGAGTTCAAGACCAGTGCTGGAAAGACTGTTTCCACAGGTGCTAAGACAATCGATTGCGTTATGAGGACTGCGCCGGCTGGTAAGAGCATTGTTGGGCTTTTGGGTCGCGCGGCGGATGGTGTTGATCAGGCTGGAGTTATTTTCTCCAAGTAAAAATGGGGGGTTGGGGTGATTGCACTTACTTTTTGTGCTCCTTCTTTGTGTTTATTATTTTCATATTTGGACATGATGGATAATCAATTTATGTCATGATGATATTCGAATGCTGTATATGAGGTTTTGCTCTGGGTGATGTCGTCTAGTGGGTTTAAGGCGTGCTGTAAGTACTATTACTTAAGCGCGGGATAGTATTAGTAGTATTATAATAAAAAACACAACTTGTGTTCTACTAAGACTGTTGTTCTATTCCGATTAGATGGACATTACCGCTTATAACTATCTCGCCTTATCTGTTACGGTTTCACAACAGACTACCTACTTCGAGATTAGAATAAATCGCATAGCTAGTTCATTAAGCGTACACCGAAATTCAATGCCCAAGTTTTTTCAGAGCCGGTTAAATAACAGGATCCAACTGGAGACCAAGTTGTAGGCGTAGATCCTGAGCAAACACCCAAGAAAGAATCCTTCTTGGCCGAGCCACCATAGACATAAGTAGCCTGAGAAATTAGCAGATATCAGGAGCTAAACTAAGCGACAGTAATACCTTGCCCCTTACAGTGGTACGCTGGCACACCTTATAGAGCGTTGTATGCCTTGTTTGGCACTTCAATGTCAATTGTGGGACCGCAATGACATGCCCCGATAAGAGCAGAGGTTAATAAGATCATGAAGTATATTGTCGTATTTACATGTTTGAGGGAGACTAGGTAGGATGTAAAGTAAAATATGATTTAGATATATATACTAAGTGGCCATGAGATATGAGCATGTTTAGATAGTGTGAATGTCTCCCCCTAAGTGCCGGAAAATAACTTGCCAGATCGCAACGGGAGTACATAAATACATTAATTTTGATTAATTATAAGGCAAAGATGAACTAATGCCGTAGTTATGACATGATTTCGGTACTTCAGCGGGAGATGTTGGACAGGACATGCTCTGGTTGGATAAGATATGAAGTGAGAGAGCGGTTGCGATGTTTAACAGTATATCCCGCGGAACATTAGGTAATACGTGTCATAGGTAATAAAGAAGGATTCATTTTCGAATGGAAAGAGGCTTTGGTTTAAGAGCCAACTAAAGTACTCGAAGAAATGAAGCGATGCTGCATTTGCAGGCACATCGCCCAATTCCGTAGAAGGCGACGAATCAGGCCTACTCTACTATGTAAGAACAGACTTTGTACCATCAGGAGGTCTCTACATTGCGACAACAAAATCTCGGTTTCTTAGGAACTCCAGTCTCACAACGCGTTTTGCATCGTAGATAAACTACAGATAATCAACGCTGTAGCCCGGGTAGTAGCGCAGACAGGTAGACACTATATATAGTAAGCATAGTTTCAGCGGTAGGTACGCTATCTCTAAGAGCAACTACGCTGGCAGCTAGAGAGTCCGACAAGCGTTGTGATATGCCAAGCTTGGTAAGAGCGCTCAGCTTATAATGCAATTAGCCTTGCTAGCGTTAGCGATACCGAGTTACTGCGGAGTTGTGCTTCCCGCGTATATCTAGCAGACTTTGGTGTTAGTAAGGGTTTGAGAATGGGATGGGATAGCGGGTTGTGGGTGTGTAAGTGAAATGTGTTGGGGTGTGTGTGTGGATAGTGAGAGGATGGGATGTAGAGGGAGAAGAGAGAGGGAGTGAGGAGTGTGTTTGGAGAATTTTGGGGTGGCGGAGAGGGCACTGGAGGATATGGCGGAGCTGAGGTACGTGGCTTGGGCGTAGATTGTCGTTAGGTGGTTAAGGGAGTTATAGAAAAGTGTTGGATTTTTCTCAGTGCCTTTTTGGCTGATAGGTAGGATGGAGTTGGAACATGGGTAATAGAAAGATAACCTTGGTTTTCTAATTGGTATATGCTGTTACATATCTTAATCATACAACAAAAAACAGGACCTAAACATTTTCATAAAGATAGCGTTGAAAGAAAGAAGAGACAATTCAATACAGGGGTAAAATCACCAGGCAGCAACAGCTTCTACTCCTCATCTCTCACTCATTTGGATCTCGGACTGGGGCTTGACGTCTCTAGTCCCTAGTCATACAAATTCCTCTTAGTAGAACCAGTACTGAGCCTTATATTGCACAGTAATAACCTCACCCGCCGCCTTACCCGCACAAGTAGCAGGCGCCTTTCCACCAACAGTCTGCACACGGTAAATCTCCTTGACGGTGCTAGTTGATCCGGCTTGGGCGGTAAGTCTAAGCCACTTGACATCGCTAGCGGGGTTGGGCGCATCGACCTCCTGCGCCTTCTTGAGGATGGTTTTACCGAGCGACGCAATATCAAACTCGGGTGTTGTGTTGTCAAGGAAGAAATGAGAACCTGCGAGGGCGAAGGAAGGAAGATCACTGGTGGCGATGGCGGGATTGGCAGCTACATTACAGGTGTCGTCGAAAAGCTGGGCTACGGCGCCGATAGAGGTGGGAGCGGAGCTGGAGTCGGCGCAGGTGTAGTTTTGTGTTCCAATGCCCAAAGCGACCATGATGGGATTTCCAGATGGTGCGGCGAGGCCAGATGCAGGCAGCTGGAGGGCGGCTTTGTTGCAGGCTTGGGCAATGTCCCCCTGAGCAACGGCAACTCGAGAGGTCACGACACCTCCAGCGGCGGGGAATGGTAGACGACGCAGAGGTGTTGCCGCAGTAAAGCCAGCAATGGAAATGATAGTGAGAAAGAATGAGGTGCGCATTTTGACGGGTTTGTGGCTGATTGTCTTGGTGTATATAAAAGACTAGACTATGAGCGCAAGGTATGTATATTGGTCGAGCGTTGATGAATGCTTTTCAGCGATGCTGTGATGCTGGAACGAGGGGCGAGCTACCTGAGCCTGAAAGAGCGAACGAAGAGTGAAAGAGGCTGTGAGTGGAAATGTGCTGAATGACTGAGTTGTTGTGGATCAATCTCACAGCAGGTGGCCTGCCTTATATATGCTGTTCGTTAACCTCATAACGGTCTTACTGTGGCGTATCTACAGGCCGAGGCCGCGGGGGATCTGGCTGTCGGAACGTTTGACATGTATACCAAAGTTGGTGTTAGGTTTCGAAAGTCTGGAATAGAGTTAGACCGTGGACCCTGTGGGTAATACTTGTACAAGAAAAACTTGGATTTGTGCGACTGACACATGAGGGATGAACGGTTGAAACAAAAGTTCCTGCCATACGGACACGGAGGATCCGCGTCGCACAGACAGACAACGGGTGGGTCTCCCGGCGATGTTTAGTACGCCCGTAAAACATCGATATGGTTGTGGAGATTCAATGAATAACAGCGGTCTTATAGACAGCACATGTCTTGTCGACCAAAGATAAATTCTTCCAGATTCATTTGCAGACTATAGCATGGCCTGCACGGCGACCAGAGATGCAGTGACATACCGCTTACTATAGTCTGTACTTACATACAGCTGTGCCGCAATGTTGCTGACAACGGCGCAGTTGCGCAAGGGTCCCCGACTTCAGAAAATAGCTACATGTATGAAGGCGGTGCTGAAACGGTGCCTGGGGAAGAGGAGCAGACCAAGCCGTGAATCTCAAACGTGGGTCCAGATGGACGGGCCGACGAAAACGGTAAACATCAAGTCGGTGTATCCACTTCCGTTATTGAGGGAGAATTTAGTGCTTTTGGTACAATGCTGAAGGTCATGTGTCGTGCCCGAGTAGGGATTGTAAGCGAGTGCTCCAGACATCAAGTGTCGGAGGTGGCTGAGATGAAAGGGAGTGTTGGGTATGTATTCATGCCACACTGCTGACATGTCACGAGGTGAATAGGGACATATCGTGTCCCCGCTGACAACTGTGCTCGCTCCATCGTTGCGCTCCTTCTCGTATGTACTTCTGTAAGTATGCGCAAGTAAGTATGTTGTATACATCCAGTTGTCCGGCGAGGCGGGCAGTGCGACGGACCACTCGGGTCCTGTGGGCGTCGTCAACCATGCCGATGGTGGCTGGCGGTCAAATCAGACTGCGTGTACCTAGCTCCGCCTCAACTTATACGTGTACCCGCCACGCAACGCTTCACCAGCCTATGTCTTTTTACATGTAGACGCGCACCCGCTCATCCCGTGTCTACCAACTCTGGACAGTGTCTCAATTGCCATGATGCAGCGAAGGGTTGGCTTGAACGAACTCATTCAAGCTTCAGGAGTGACGCCCCTTGGCCAACGCCAAGCCATTCTACCCGCACCCACCCAGCCTGCCATTGTTGCCAGCGAAGAGGACCATGCACAGGCGCGAAACATTCTTCTAGAGCGCAGAGCCAAACCCGCTGAGACCAAGAAGGGGTTGAAGAGCATCTTTAAGAGTTCAAAAGACAAGGATAAATCCCAGGACGCCGCCCTCTTCTCCCAGGATGAGCTGGACCAAGCCTTGTCAGCCGTCATTCGCGATGCAACCACAGGGCCTGGCTTGATTCAGGCCTTCCTTAGTCTCGGAGCCAAGGTCAACGTCATCGAAACCCTGGACAAGAAGAAGAAATCCGGAGCCCAAGCCAACACCTCGCTACGCCGCCGAAGCACTGTCTTGCAGCAGGCCGCCAGCCTACGAAAGGCGGATGGCGTCAATATTCTGGCCAGCTCTGGTGCTGACCAGACCACCTTGGACGAAGCACTCAAAGCCGCCCTCAGTGCAAACGACCATGCGTGCATCACTGAGCTGTTGAGGCACGGTGCCAACTTGAACAACTTCCCAAATGCCTTGGCCAACGCTGTGCGGTCTAATGACCTCAATCTTGTTCGACTTCTACTACGAGCCCCAAAGCCTCTTCGCCCCGATATCATATCATCATGCCTGCCTGCTGCTGTCGAGCAGACCTCTGACGTAACCATATCTCTACTAATCACATATGGAGCCGACCCAAACTTCGACACGGCAAGCGCTCTAAACATGGCCATTGGAAGACAGTATTACAAAGTTGCCGTTGCTTTGGTTTCCGGTCCCATTCGTCTGACTCCATCAAATCTGCAACATTCACTCGACACGACAATGAGACTTCCGACACGTCAGGCAACTCTTCAATTTCTCCAGCTTCTCTTCTGCTGTGGCCTACCTCCCGACAGCAGGGGCTTGTCTGATTTCCTCATCTGCGTCGTACGTGGAAATGACACTGCTGGTGCACGGATGATGATTAGTTATGGCGTCTCCACGACAACAAATGAAGCAGAGTGCTTGAGGGAGGCTCTGGCCAACTCCAACTGGGCTATAGTGGATGCTATCCTTCAGACCCCACTGGCCCAACAGCATGCAGTAGCTGCACTAAATGCTCTGCCACGTAACATGCCACAACCGGATAGATTCCGGGTAGTTAGTGCATTGCTACAAAAGGGTGTAAAAGGTCGCCCGCTTGGTCCACTACTTACCCAGGCCATCAAAGAAAGAGATTATAAGCTGGTAGAGCTTCTTCTTGGAGCTGATGCACCAGTTGAATCGGGCGACGGCGGGGCTCTGCATGCTGCCGTTTTCAACAAGGACCTCCAGGCACTGAAGTTGCTTCTCAACACACGGCCATCACCTGAGGCTCTGGGAGAAGTATTCAGACTTCTACAAAACGGATTTACAGCATCTGAACGACGTGAATTTTCTCGCTTGCTGCTCGAAAATGGCGCACGTGGCCCTGGTGTTGATCATGCTCTCGTCGATGCGATCGCGGATACCTCTTCTGCGCGAGACGTGGCCCTTATAACAGACCTGGTTCGGAAAGGTGCAAGCGTTGATTACGATAAAGGCAGAGTATTTTCCCTGGCGGTTGCCCAAGCTGACATGTCCCTTTTGCGTCTGCTTTGCAATGCAAGACCAAAACCCTCGTCGACTTCGGCGGCCCTTCCCCTAGTATTTGAATCCCATGCTGGAAGACATGCTAAAGCGCTTGAAATCATCGAATTACTACTAAGCCAGGGAGTTGAGGAAGAGCCAGCCGGTCAAGCGTTACAACTTGCCATCAAAGGTGGCCCAGGCAACATCGACATCATCGAACGGATTCTCACTGCAAGCCCCAGTCTTCTCAGCATTGCGTTCAAACACGCCACTGCAATCGAAGACCCTCAGAAGAAGGCCCCGATCCTAGACGCACTTCTGAAGCTCGGAGTACCCCAAGAGTCCTTGGACCAGGCCCTCGCTGCTGAAACACGGCACGCTGTCTCGACAAAGGACACAACTAGTACCAAGCTGTTGTTGGGACAAGGTGCTTCTGTGAGTCACAACAATGGCGAGGCTCTGAGTGTTGCAGTGGCCTCGGGTGATAGTTCGCTAACGGCATTGCTTCTCAGTGGGAAACACCAAGCATCGCGACCTAGTCTTACTCGAGCCTTCCAAACACTATTCACTGACAAGAACCTTTCGCTTGCCGAGAACAAGAAGAATGCTAATCAGCTAGCGCAAGAGCTTCTCAATCGCGGTGTCGACCAACCCGCCATCGACGCTGCTCTACGTGCTGTTCTGAGCAGTGAGCACGATAGCAACAACACTGAGCCCCTGGTAGATCTCCTACTCTCTCACAATGCCGATGTCAACACAGCAGACGGTGCTTGCTTTGTTCTTGCAACGCAAAAGCACAGTCACACCATATTTGAGAAGCTCATGCTTCACAATCCCCAGTTCAATGTCATTGTCCCAGCGTTATTAAGCTCCAAATTGCAAGACGAAGTTGTCTTTTCGGCAATACAATCATGTTTTGATTCTGGATTCGCAATTGATGACATGGCAACTGGTAACAACAAGATGCCGATTTTGATCACCGCCATGACCGTCTACCCACGCAATGCTGCTCTCATCACGCTTCTTCTCAGTCACGGTCTGAATCCAAATGTATCGGTTCCCACAGTGCTCCACCCGGCGGCTGGTCCGGAGACAGTCCCCGCACTTTACTGGGCACTAGCTCAACCGCAAAAGCGCATCTCAGATGCCGTGATCTCCGCACTGATGGAAGCCGGTGCTTCCGTGAGCAACATCTCGCCCGTCTCGGAAACGACGGTGCTTATGCTTGCCGCGCGAGAGGGACGCCACGGTATCCTTACTGCGCTACTAGAGCGAAGCCCGGACGTTGATGCCCGAGACAAGTGGAACAAGTCTGCACTGTTCTACGCCAGTGGTAGTCTATCTGGAGAAGCCTTGGTGAAAACACTAGCCCCACACACCGCAGGGAACGATGGTAGCATACACGAATCAGCACGAGAGCTGAATGTCGAGTCCGTCAAAGCCCTGCTCGAACATGGTCATGATCCAAACTACCCATCTCGACTCCATGGCGGCAGGAATGCCCTTGGCGAACTCTGTCTCAATGCCAATGTCATAACTCCCACCCACCGCTCCCGACTCCGCCAGGTAATCCGCCTTCTACTCTCCAACGGTGCAAACGCCAAATTCCGCGCCCGAAACGAAAAGTCCAGCATCATCCTCGCCCTCGACAACCCCTACAGCGCCCTCCCCATCACCGAAACTCTCCTCGAAACCGACATCTGGAAAGACCTAAACGATCCATCCCACATCTACCACGACCCAGCCTCCAACCTCCACTACTCCCCTTACTCCTACGTCGACCTCCTCCCAACCCCCTCCCGCACCCCCATCCGCCCTGCCCTCCTCGACCTCCTCCGCGACAAAGCCTGCATCCCAGTCTACTACTCGTCCTCAGCCCTTCAACCCGTCGGCGCAACCGGCCTCCCCGCCCCCATCGCCGCCCTCGTCGACAAGCAAAAAGACCACGACCTCAGCATCCGCCACGAAAAAGAAAAATTCGAACACCAACGCTCCATGCACGAACTCTCCCACAAGGACTCTCTCCGCCGCAAATCAGAAGCCCTAGATGCCGATCTCGCCCGCCAGGCTAAAGCTACAAAACAGTACACCCTACTTGAGCAGCAGAAACACGAATTCGAAGTCCAGCGCCTGCGCGAGGCTGAGCGCACAAGGCGTGCGGAGAAGGCAGCGTGGCATGCACTACTCACTGAACAGGAGCGCGAAGCAGCGGCCAGACGTGCGGAAGTTGAAGAGAGGAAGGTCAGAGATGCGATGAGTGCGGAGCTGAAAATGATTGAGCAGCGCAAAATGGAGGTTGAGCATCGGGCCGGCGTCGAGCGCAAGATGTTAGCGGAGAAAGAAGAGTTTTATGAGAGAAATGTTAGGAGGCAAAGGGAGGTGAGGCAGATTGAGGGGGGTGGCAATGCTGGGACGGCGCAGTGGGGGACCGTTGATTAAGTTGCTCCCTCTTCTTCTTTTTCGGTTATATATACTGGAGTTTTTTTTCTCCTTCCTGTGAGCGTTGAAGCGGATTTTCGGACCTAAAAATGCTATACCACATTTTACACAACGTGGGGGAAAATGGAACAAAAGTTTCGGGTTAAGTTACAATCGATCATTGATATCGTGATTTTTCAACTCTACAGTGCGAACCTTTTCTTTTTGCAATATTAAAAAAAAGGGGGTGGGTATCTTCTCTCTCTTTCTGTCTTCCACAGCGACAAACCAAAATTAAAAACACACGCACTACTTTTCAAACGATCCCCCATATTTCCATCCTACCACGTCAAATCCTTATCATCGCGTATCATAGACAAAAACATGACTTCCTCCTCAGCCTGCTCCAGAACCGCCTTGTGACTATGCGCACGCGTCTCCCATCCCATGGTCACGTGCGAGAGTTCAAGGGCCGAGAGTTTCGGTCGAGTAGAGACTTGGCTATGAGGAATGCGGTATGTCAAGTCTGACTCACCGCCGGGGATAGGACTGGATGTTCGCGACGATGCTTCTACATCTTCAGACTCGTCGTCTTCGAGCCACAGGAGTTCGAGGGCATCAAGACTTGCGAGGGACACCTTGTGTGGAGCATCGTGGGGAGCGTATTCCATGTTGCTGAAGATTTCGCGCATGTTGCGGTCGAGGGCGCCCTTGTGCTCGCGCTCACGGAGCCAGTGGTTCTCGTTTTGCAGGGCGTCGATGAAGGTCTTGAGACCGCCGGGGACACTTCGTGGGTCGGCGGCTTGTTGGGGTTGTTCGATAGGGGCGGTGGTGTTTTCGGTGGTGAGCTCTGGGTCGTTGCGTCGGTACTCGTCGACGTTGGCTAGGCGCTCCTTGAGTGCTTCCAGATCCAAGGCTTGGGCTTTGTTCTGCTCCTCGAGCTCCGCGATCTGCTCGTGGCATAGGGCAAGCTCCTCTTGGAGGGCCTCGAGACCTACAGTCTTGGTGGCAGCATCCCGGATCTTAGCCGACAGGTGCTCAATCTCGAGCTCCTTTGTAGCAATAATTTGCTCGCGCTCGTGGATCTTGAGAACAGTAGCACGGTGCTCGGCTGTGAGGGCCTGCAATTGACGCACCGCCTCGTCGTCCTTCTTTCGTGCAGCCTCGACTTCCTTGGCCTTTTGAGACCACGGTGTAGGACCATGCTCAATTTCAACGTTGTTGGAAAGCACCGAGGCGTGGTCGGTCCAGTGCCGCAAGCTGGATGTGAGACTATTCAATCCAGCAGTGACGAAAATAGATTGCTGCTTCGAATCCAGATCATCGATTGCAGCCTTCGTAGCAGCCATCTCACTTTCAGAGAGCGACTCTGGATCTGAGAGATTGACACGCTTTGCGACTTCCTCCACGAGACTTTGGGTGAAGTTGGCAATTCCCTGTGCAGCCTGCGCTAGTCCTTCGTCGAATCGAATGGCCTCCTCCAGGCCGTCTGGAAGGCGGGGATACATGTTGTCTGCAGTCAAAGCCTCCACAACTTTGAGCAACTTGATCGCAGCCGCAAGAGCACCTTGTGTGGTCTCCACTGGTGTCTTGAAATGCTCTGGAGTGTACTCGCACTCCTCGAGTATGTTTTCGGGAAGTTTTTGAAGAGTAAACGTAGCCAGGTCGTACAGATGGGCGATGTAATCAAGGCGAGCGTGAATGGAAGTGATTCTAGATACCAGCTCGCCTTCTGGTCGCTCAGCCAGGATTTCTTGGTGGCTCGAGAGGATTGCTTCTTGTGTTTTGGTGGAACGCTCAAGAGCTCCAGCAAAGTCGTCGAAGTTGACCGTGTCTGCCTTGAGAGCATTGAGACCTTGATCGAGAACTTGCTCTACAGTAATCAGTTCTTGGTAGGTGGGTCCAATGTTTGCAAACTCGGCAAGGGTCAGGCTGCGGATAGCGGACCAAAGGCGGTGACTGCCGTCCTTAATCATCTCGAGATGGGCGACGGATTGACCACAGACAAGTCTAGTCAAAGCATCGTCCAGACGGCCGCCATTGCCCATCTGGCGGCTGGTGCTCCGTAGCACATTCATGAGCAGTTCTGATTTGCCAACAATCCTCTCTGCAGTGAGATAAGCCTGGAGAGATTCGCTGCGAGTGAACTCCTTCGATTCCGTCTCGTTCCAGATCTCAAGCTTCTCCGCAAGCTGATCAGCCTTCAAAGAAATCAAGGAAGCTTCAATCTCTCGTGTGGTAGACAAGACAGTGGCGGCGTGGAGCTGTCGGTTCAGATCCATGACCTGGTTGAACCGCCCGGTAGTGTCCTTAACTTGAGCTTCTGTCATGTTCTTAGAGGATTCGGCGTCTGCCATTCTTGTCTGCAGGTCCATGACAAGGTCTCGGAATTTAGTGATGAGGGATTCATTGTCAGCAATGATGGCAGCTTGGTCAGCAATCAGTCGTGCTTGTTCCGCAAGCTCAGCGTCCTTCATCTCAATCTCCGCCATCATATCCTCCTCTTGTTCAAGATGCTGAACCTCAAGCTCGTCATTGAGCTCTCGTAGGTTCTCGAGGTCTTGTACAATCATCTCTTGCTCCGCAATCCTATCTTGCAGGTTTTGGTTCTGATGGCTCAATTCTCCTACCATATCCTCGTATTCATTGGCGGCATCAAGTTGTTGCTTCAGATGGTCGACAAGTGAGTCGGATTCAGCAGCGCGCTCTTGAAGAGCGGCATTTTCCTGCTCCAAGCGTTCGAGCTGCGCGAGATCGGCTTCCAGTCCGGCAATCCTTGCCTTCTGATCCTGTTCTCTCTCCTCTGTCATTTCTTTGAGGGTGATGAGCGCATTTCTTAGGCGGTCGTTTTCGTGTTGCAAGCGATAGTAACCAGCCTCTTGCTTCTGCTCTTCAGACATTTCTGTTGTGAAAAGCTCGGCCTCGTCTCGGAGAATGTCAAGTTCTAAGCTCTGTTCCTCCACCCGTTTACGCAACGACTCCAGCTCTGATTCAGCCTGATCCGCCCTCTCCTCTGCCATTTCCTTGTCGACCAACGCATCCTCTAGGTCCACTTCATGATCTTGATGGGCCTTGGTGAGGGCTTCATTTTCCTGCTGAACAGCCTTCAGCGCATCCTTCAACTCTTGCATCTCGCCATATTGGGACTGGCATTTCGACTGAAGCTTCTGTATGATACCATTAAACCGATCCCGCTCATCCCTAATTTGTGTGAGTTCCCTAAGCCTTTCTTGATCCTCTGCGTGCTGTTTCTCTAGATGCCGAATCTTTGTTTGTAGCGTTTCGATATTGCCATCTCGAGGCGGCTTTGTGGGATTACTGGCGACTGATGAGGCGATGCTTGGTCGGGATGCCGGCGGGGCGGGGCGGGAACTCTCTGCTGGAGGATTGCTGGAGATACTGGCAACGCTGGCTTTACGGACGGGTCCGCGAAGGCCGGCTTGGGCTGGGGGGCCTGCAACGGACTGTCGCTTGTTTACTGTTGGTCTGGCGGGAGGACCAGGCTTCGGGGCAATGACACTCGAAGGCCGAGCTCTGGGCGTAGTCGTCGGTGGTTTCGGTTTTGGGGCGGCTGATTTGGGGGTAGAAGGCGGCGGTGGAGCTGGTTGTGATATTATAGCCGCAATACTTGAATCACGTATGAACAAGCCATGGCCCGGTGGACATGAAAAGTAGCGCTCTCCGCGTACAGATCCATCGTTTTTGCCAGTAGGAGTGGGCAGCTCTATGCCCACAAACGTGCCATCAGATACGTGGATAGGTCCCACATATCGAACTATCCCCTGCTGCTCACCGGTCGTCTCTACCGTCTGACCGACCCTGATTGTAGCCATGGATACTCTGTGTTAGCCCAGAGAACTGCGATAGATATACAGAAAAGCAGGCGTGAATGGGCTGGCTGTACAAAACAGCGAAGACGCGTCGGAAGTTTGGTGCGGGCAGTCGAAAGTGCAATTGCGGTCGATTGACTTTAGAAAACCCAAACGCTGCAAACCAAAGAAATGCAAAATGCAAGAACGCACGAAAAAGAGCTTAAAGAGAGTGCAGCTGTGGCATGCAGCATTTGGCGGTTGCAGATGCGTGCGATGCGTAGTGTCTACGAGACAGTAGGGTCGATGTTGAAGCACCCACGGGGACCCTGGAACTCTGGCTTGGCGCGGCCATGGTCCGACTTTACTACGCCCCCACTCAGCATCGCCGACACAACCGAATCCAGACTGATATCAGCCATTTTCATCCTCGGAGTATTTTTCAGGCCAACCATCGGGTATTGTTGCAGAACATGGCATGTCTAGCGAGTCATAGCAATGCAAGGAAGCGGGGAAGAGGTGTCAGCATCACACTGGATATTGTTCTCCGTCGTAGCCCGACCAACTGTATACAGCAACATAATCACACTAGACTGTGCATGGTGCCTGATTACTCGCACCGAATGAAGTAATATTTCCTGTTTACATTTTAAAAGCATTTGGCTGAAATACTTATACCAAGTTCATCCCGTCCGCACTGTATTACTAATTTTTTCTTCCCAACATATTTGCCAATAGATCTCCCAGTCACGAACTCCCTCACGTTGACTAGTTAAGATTCTTGCAATAGATAATGGGTAACCATGCACTCATTTACGGTGCGTCAGGTATTTCTGGGTGGGCCATTGTAAACGCCATCCTCAATGGATATCCGTCCAAAGATGCCTTCTCCAAGGTCACAGCAATGGTGAATCGGCCGTTGACACGGGAGATGGCGCTCTGGCCAGAAGACACTCGTTTACAAATAGTGTCTGGCGTGGATCTTGTTAAGGGGACTCAGGAGGAGTTGGAGGCGCAGATTAAAGAAAAGGTCAAGGATGTTGAGACAGTAACTCAGGTGTATTTTTATTGTAAGTCGGGCGGTTTCCAAAGAGAATACGACTAATAAGTGGTAGCGTACAAGCAAATAGACGACCCTGATTCGGAATGCAAGGTAAATGAAGCAATGTTGGAGCGCGCAGTCACAGCCATTGATCACCTGTCGCCTCAACTCTCGTACGTGGTTCTTCCGACAGGCACCAAGATTTACGGCTGTCAAATGCTGGATCAGTTCCCGTTCACAAACGACCTACCGCTGAAAGAGACGCTTCCACCTATTCCTGAGCCATACCTCTCTCAGCTCTTTTACTACAACCAGATCGACTGCCTGAAGCGCATTTCAGAAGGAAAGAAGTGGAAGTGGTGTGAAGTTCGACCGGACAACATCATCGGATTCGTCCCAAACAACAATGCCTACTGTCTGGCGCAAACACTCGCACTGTACCTCTCACTCTACCGATTTGTCGAAGGCGAGGGCGCAAAGTGTCCATTTCCCGGGAGTGAGAAGTCGTGGGTAAATAAGTACAACGAATCTCCACAAGACATGGTTGCGCACTTTTCGATACACGCATCACTGCATCCAGAAAAGACTGCGTCGCAGAGCTTCAATGTGGGCGGTCAGGAAGACAGTTGGAGCGGGAAATGGCCAGTTATCTGCGATTATTTTGGGCTAAAAGGCACGGGGCCCGAGGAGGGCTCACCACAGCCTGGCGCATACATTGATGCGCACAAGCAGCAGTGGCAGGAGTTGGAGAAGAAGCATGGTCTCAAGCAGGGAAGCGTTGATAGCGATATTACGCATCCGGGATTCCAGGTATGTGTTTAGGTCTTCAAGTTTGTGGCGAGCATAGCTAACAAGAGACAGAACTTCATCATGACCATGTTCGATTTCGACCGCCAGATGAGCATGGAGGCTTCGCACAAGGTTGGGTACACAGAGGAGATACGGACAAGAGAGGCGTGGACAACTGCTTTCGATCGCATGAGAAAGGCAAAGGTAATTCCATGATGTTCAGTCGAACAAGACGAATGCTTGGGTGTGGAGTTTCTTGGTAGACGGCGGGCGTCTCCACCCGCGTGCCTTGATTAACGTGGCTAGCGGGGAGACCCTGTTAGTACGTCCATGTCAGGGACAGACATCCCTCGCGCCACTTTGATGCGCCTCTCAACTCTTTCGGATCGTCTTGCGCTACACAATGTATCCAATGGCAAGCAGACCGTATTTTGTGAATCCACAAGGGCGAATGATAGTCCTGGCCTAATTACAACGGCTTAGAATAGCAGTCTAACCCCTTGTTTCCGGATGACGCTATGACGTGCCCATTGGTGAACTCGGGGGAGCGACACACGCGGCCTCAGCCACGTTACTACGAAGTCGTTCTCGACCGCAACAGATGAGTGCTTGCGATTGTACATCACCATGATTTCGATTTTGGGTGGCCCACGTCATAGGACGGCGCTCAAGGGCGTAGCGGTAGTTGGCGCATTATGTTTATGTAGGTTCCCGTTCCTGTCCCTGTAATGAACTGACCCCGTTCCCATTGTCGCATAGTAGGGCCAAGATACTTGTGTGTATGGAAGAAGAGGCAAAGCGCGTAGTTCTGTATTAGTTGTTTATACCATTTGCCCTCCATTCAGTCTTCTACCTGGCATCGTTGCTAACCCGCCCCCTTAGTGATCACGCTCATCGTCGGCTTACGCCATGAACGTCCTCACGCAGACCTTCGCATTCCCCTCCGCATACTTCCTCTGGGCGACTCGATAACATGGGGCTGGCACCCGGACAGCCAAGATCACGGTACAGATGGGTATCGTGCCCAGCTTTTGCGCAACCTAATCCTTGGGTGGTATCAGTCGGTCGACTTTGTCGGTACACAGCATTCAGGCTTCATGTTTGACAATGACAACGAGGGACATGTCAATTCCACAATAGGCGAGATAATGGGCGCTATGATGGCTGCGCTGCAGATGCAACCGAATATCGTATTGGTGCATGTGGGCACGACTGATCTGGATCGCTCTGACAGCGCATTGTGGAAGGATGCGCCGCAGCAATTGGGAAAGCTCCTAGATGCTATTTTGGAGGCGTGTCCGGACGCTGTGGTTCTTGTTGCGAAAATCATACAGGCGCTGAACCAGCGGACGGGTGACAATATCAGGGCATTCAACGAGGCAGTGCCGGAAGTCGTGGAGGAAAAGGCGAAGAAAGGCTTCAAGATTAGAGTCGTGGACCAGAGTGTCGTGAGTGTTTATGAGCTAGCTGATGGCCTGCATCCGTGAGTTATAGAAATGAGGGGTACACTGATGCGATGCTGATGATTACAGATCCCACGCTGGATATGCGCATATGGGCATGGTTTGGTTCGACGCCATCAAAGATGTGAGCGGAGATGGGCTGATAACGCCGCCTGTGTTCAATCAGACACTGTAATATTCGAATCATGCAGTCTTGCCCAAAGTTCATGAGCTACCGGATATGTCGGCACGCCAGCCAGTGCCCGGAATGTTTACAAGCCGTTATCCTACATTCAAGCTGACCATGTCATGAGTCGCACATTAAGCAATCTCATGATGCCATTGCGACTCAGAGTGCGTTGGTTGGAAATAGTACACGACTCGCATTACGTCTCTGGCCTACTCATGTAGCGGGCCATTCCACGCGGGGTCGCTATCGCCATGCGGGGTCCGTCTTTTTCCACCGTACATGGCGCTAAAGCATTTCCAGTCTTGTCTCTTGCCATTTCCAACTTCCTATGCGATTATTCATCAACCAGCAATATACACATGGCGCGTACCCAAACGTCCGTTCATGTCGTGCGACATCAATTTGATGCTTGCGAGAGGATTGCGTCGGCTACTGATAGTAATCACGATGAGTTAGGCAGGTCTCCACGTTCGGCACCCTGCAAAGTGGCAGGTATCCCAACTCGGAAATGCTTTGGCGAGGAGATGCCTTCGCCAATGCGATGGGGAAACGGCAGTTCTGCATATCCCTGTGCTTGCAACCTCGTGTCCCGAGGGCCAGTTAAGATTTGTATATTTGCCCAGGCTAGCCATTCCGCCACTGTGTGTTTGCATTCTGGATTTCGTCGTTGAAACAGCATTGTCTCTGTTTTGCGGCTACTTGTTTCAAAGAGCATAATGAGCATTATAGACGAAGAACGTCTCCGCCTGGTTGCGGTTTGGGCGCCCGTTGCTGTATGTCAACCTTGCTGGCTCATTGACAAATATCAGGCCTGATAGGTTCCAGTTCATCGCATACGTCGTCTTGAACGCAATTTACAATGTCACACTACACCCTCTGGCCAAATATCCTGGGCCATTACTCTGGCGCATCTCTCCGATCCCGTCCATCATACACCTGCTACGCGGCCGCATTGCCTTTGAGTACAAGCGTCTCCATGACAAATATGGACCAGTTGTTCGCGTTATGCCAAATGAACTCTCTTTCAATACGGCAAAATCTTGGGACGATATCTATGGCCACCGTGTCGGTCTTCCCAGTATGGAAAAGGACGCTATCCATGTCGGCGCTGTAGAGGCCATTCCTGGGGCCACGAACTTGACCATGGCACCAGCTTCTCAACATGCTCGGCAGAGGAGAGCATTGTCCCATGCCTTCTCCAAGCAAGCACTGATGGAGCAAGAACCGATCCTCAAGGGTTATGTAAACATGTTTGTCGAGCGATTGAGGGAAATGGCTGAGCGAGGCGAGCCAGCGAATATGGTGTCATGGTTCAATTTTTGCACATTTGATATCATTGGTGATTTGAGTTTTGGCGAACCGTTTGGATGTCTTCGAGAAGGTACGGTTTTCGAGCGACCCATGTGCAAATTCGGGGATATGTGATCAAAGCAGTACTAAGAGTGTTCCAGGTGAAGGGTCCGAGTCCGCAAACTGGGTTGTCCTCATTTACGAGGCAATCAAGTCGGGTGCCATTGAGCAGGCTACCCGCCGCTTTGCCAAACCCGGGTCCACGATGCAGAAGTTCCTTATGTGGTGTATTCCTAGTGTGATCCGCGAGCGCCGCATCCGTCACTTGCGCAACTCTACGGAAAAAACAGTCAAGAGGCTCAGCACGAAGAGCGACCACCGCGATTTCATCTGGTACATTCTGAAGCAGCGGGAAAAGAAGAACGAGGTCAGCGACAGCGAAGTCATCATGAACGCGGCTCTCTTCATCGTTGCAGGCAGCGAGACAACAGCCACGGAGCTGTGCGGATTAACAAATTACCTGCTGCGCAACCCGGAGATATTTCAAAAGCTCAAGGATGAGATCAGAGGCGCATGCAAGACCGAAGCTGATCTCAACATGGACGTTTTGGGTAAGTTGCCGTACATGAACGCCTGTATAGAAGAAGGCCTCCGTATCTTTCCCCCCGTCCCAGTCGGTCTCTTGCGCAATGTGCCCAAAGGCGGCGCTCTCATCGACGGACACTTTGTTCCAGAATACACATCCGTCTGCGTTTCTTCATGGAGCGCCTCGCATTCGGCAGCCAACTTTATTGAGCCCGACACCTTCATTCCTGAGCGGTTCCTGGACACGCCAGACTCCAAAGCCCGATTCGGTAGTGACATAAAGAAGGCTGCACAGCCCTTTTCGTTGGGGCCCAGAGGATGCATTGGCAGGAATCTGACGTATGTAGAGCTGAGACTGATTCTCGGGGCCTTTTTGTGGAATTTCGATGTCGAGTTTGCAGAGAATGGGGGGAGGTTGTGGGATCCAAAGGGCGAGTTTGAGGGGCTCAAGGCGTTTAATACGTGGGAGAAGAGTCCGTTAATGGTCAAGTTGACGGATATTAGAAAGACGAGCGCTTGAACGCTGGGTACCATTTACACCACCTAAACAGTCATAATATCAGTAGTTTGACCAGTCGACTTCACAACAGTGAATATGCAGACTGCTTATGATGTCATACGGTGCAGCACGTGTTTTCGCGACACCGCGACGCGGGGCAATTGCAAGCCCTCCAAGTCTCGTACGTCAGCGCTCCCAATCTTGCATTACCAGGGAATAAACCACAAAAACCACCAATGTATAAAAGACCTCTACAATCTCTCTTAACATCCCGCTCAGCAGCCCCACCCAAACTCCGTCCATTCCCCCATTACACCCGCACCTTTCACCATTCACGACTCATCTACGCCGCCTACAACATGCCGCAACCCCCACGCATCCTAAAAACCGAAGACCTGCCCGCCACATCCGCAAAATGGATTTCGTTCCAGAAAATCTCCTGGCAGGACCAAACCGGCAAAGACCGCGTCTGGGAAGCCGCAGCACGAAAGACACGCGGTAAGTCTGGCGTCGACGCCGTCGCTATCGTGACACTCATCCGGCACCCGTCTCGCCCGCCTTCTACAATCATCATTTTGCAGTACAGGCCCCCCGTGAATGCCGTGTGTGTGGAGTTACCCGCGGGACTGGTGGATGAGAAGGAATCGCCGAGTGAAGCCAGTGTGCGTGAATTGCACGAGGAGACGGGGTATAAGGGTAAATTGAAGTTTATTAGTCCGACAATTGTGTCTGACCCGGGGATGAGCACGGCGAATATGCAGTTAGCGGTTGTGGAGGTGGAGTTGAAGGAGGGAGATAAGGAGCCGGAGCAGGCGCTGGATGATGGCGAGTTTATTGAGCGCGTGGTTGTGCCGGTGGATGAGTTGTATGAGCGGTTGATTCAGTATGATAAGGAGGGCAAGACGGTGGATGCGAGGTTATGGCATTGGGCTGCGGGGTGGCATGCGGCTAAGTCTATGATGTGAGGGTGGCAGTGTTGAACGGGATTATTCACATGGAATTCATTGATTTGCGTAATGATATGAATGAGATGGATAGATTAGGTTGTACGACTAGAAACTCATTATATCCTTCAAATAGCGCTCATACCCCACCGCCAACTTCAACCAGAATCTTAACCTGGTTATCCTTGTCGTTGATCAGACTCTTGAAACCCTTTTCCTCCACCTCCGTCAGAGAAATCTTCTGCGTAATCATGGCCTTTGGATCCATGTCGCCCCGGCTAAGTGCGTCAATCACTTCTTGAAAGTCGCCGATCTCGTACGTCGCAATACCCATGTAGCTTCGCTCCTTGAAGTTGAAGTCGTTAGTCTGGATGGTGCATGGCTTCTCCCAAATAGCAATGTTGACAATGCAGCCACGAGCACGTGTGGCATGGACGGCCTGATTGAGTGCTGCTTGGACGCCAGCACAGTCATAAACTACATGTACGCCCTTTCCTCCGGTGAGTTCGCGACAGCGGGTCGCGAGGTCTTCGTTCACAGGGTTGATGATGTAGTGTGCGCCAAAGTTTCTTGCAAACTCTTGTCTCTTTTTACTGATTTCTGAAACAATGATCTTGTCGCAGCCGTTTGCCTTGAGAGCGAGAATAGTTGAGATTCCAATAGGGCCACCTCCCAAAACGAGCACGCTATCACCTTTCTTGTAAGGACTGACTTTGACGGCGTGCCAGCCAACAGCTAGAGGCTCGACCAGGGCGCCAATCTCGAGCGGGACGTTGTCAGGAAGGTGGTATAGGGTCGATGTTGGGACGACAATGTGATCTGCCAACCCACCACCCCATCCAGATAGGCCGATGAAGCCATTGGACCAACAGCAGTTATGCAATCCCTCTTCACACGCGACACAGGTGTCATCGTAGATGATGGGCTGGATAACAACCCTGTCGCCAACCTTATAGTCTGTGACACCCTCACCAACCTCTTCTATTGTTCCGCTAAACTCGTGGCCAAAGGTAAGTGGGACTGTTTCGCCGGTGATTGGATGAGGTGTGGTAGGACAGAGGTTTGGACCACCTAGGTACTCAGCTTGGGACCACATTTTCGTCACTCTGCCAACTTACCCAAATACTCGTGGAGATATAAAGGCGCGTCAGTCTCTTTGCTCTGGAATTCGATTATGCATACATACCACTGCCACAGATTCCGACCCACGCTGGTTTTATCTTGACTTGGCCTGGCTTGACTTCTGGGATTGGAATCTTCTCAAATCTCAGGTCCTTTTGACCGTGGAACCGCAGCGCGTTCATGGTACCATTGCTCGAAGGTACGGACTGAGCCGGATTTGAAGCTGACATGTTTCCAGGTGCTATTACAGATATTATGCGACTTCGTGATTCGAAATCTAGATGAGATGATTAAAGAGAAGAGTTGGAGTGAAAGATATATGGCGATGCCAGCACAACGTGGCCCTCGAGACTGAGAGCTAGCCACGCCATGCTTCAAGTCTCGCGCCTGATTGCTCAATTCTCGGCATTTCTGGCTATCCGTGCTGTTGGAATACTGGAACGGCGGATTGCTGTGCCCATCTCCATCACGGCATACCACATTCGGCAAGCCCAGTGTCCATCACCCCGCACCCTGAGTGCGGGGTATCAAACATCGACGAAGTTGGAGCAGGTTTGAGGATTGAATTATTTTCCCGGGACTAACCGGAGCTGGAGAATTGGGATACCACTTCTGGTCATGGAAGCTCTTGGGGGACTGGGTCCAGGGTAGAAAGAGAATTTGGTCGTTGATAACGGTCAATTGCTTGAGAGGGATAAGCTCCTCTATTCACATCCAATACAGAATCGATAGCAATGCCCAGGATGGAATCGCAAGAGACAATCAAGGAGAATTTGGTCACATCTAAGGAGATGATCTGAGCGACGGAGCGAAAGGCAATCATGGGTGAAGTGATGATGGTGGTTGCGAGGAGAAGATGATGACGTCGGCAACTGTCGGCGATCGGAATGAGTGCTGGTCGGCCGCTGGACCGATCGGAACGACGTCGGAAACATTTTTTCTCTGTTAACTGTTCGCTCTACAAGCTTCATACGGCCTTCTGACAGCGCTAGTCTAGACAATTAAGTCGCGTTCGAAGCTTGAATGGCGGCACGACAAGCTCTGCCACACTTCGGCATAGCCGAAACGAGGCAATACGTAGCGCGGGCTACTTAGACGCGGGATGTAGCAAGCTTTGGCATCTAGTCGTCAACGGCGTGTGCGAAAACACGATGCAACGGTAAAAAGCGCGATCATTGACGCGTGGGTGACGGTCAAGAAAAGGTACAATGCACAACACACTAGATAACCCTCCCATGTCTGCACGACGGTCCAATCACACGGCCCCACAGGTCTCCATGGCGGGGGCATTCTAGAACTCCATCCACTGTTATGATATCACTGGCCAGTGACGATGGGTCTTGTCGACAGCTGGCCGTAGATTTCCCGGTGCTTCAACCCCGGGGCTTCAAATACCTCCCATTACCCCTCGACACCTGCCCCTCCATTACACATTTCCCTTCGCCCTTTCCCTCCTCACACACACACGGTGTATCCAACTTCAAGATGCCTTACCCAGAGACCACCGACGCTTTTGCCGTCACTGACATCAAGAACTGGAGCAACTTTACCCGCAAGGAGGTCAGTTTCCGGCCCGAATTTCCCACCAATCCAATCGTCTTACTGACCTTCTGGTAGCTGCCCCTCAAGAAATTCGAGGAGCACGACGTCGACATCGCTATTGATGCCTGTGGTGTATGTGCTTCAGATGTTCACACCATTAGCGGTGGATGGGGCGAGTCAATTCCTCTTCCTCTCTGCGTAGGACACGAGGTCATCGGCAAGGTCATCAAGGTTGGATCAAAGGTCACCAAGGTCAAGGTTGGCGACCGTGCCGGTATTGGCGCTCAGATTGGCGCCGACTTGACCTGCGATCAATGCAAGAACGACCAAGAGAACTACTGCCCCAACTCTGTCGACACATACGGTGCTAAGCACACCGATGGCACTGTTGCACAGGGTGGCTACGCCAGCCACATCAGAGGTCATGAGTACTTTGTCTTCAAGATCCCAGACAACATCGAGACTTCCCTGGCGGCGCCTATGCTGTGTGCTGGTCTCACCACATATTCGCCATTGAAGAGGCTAGGAGCCGGTCCTGGAAAGAAGGTCGGTATCATTGGACTGTAAGTTTCTCAACACCAAGGATATTGCAGTATCAGCCACTAACACCATTAAAGCGGAGGTCTCGGTCACTTTGGTGTCCTCTGGTCCGTCGCCATGGGCGCTGACACCTACGTCATCTCACACACCCCCAACAAGAAGGACGACGCTCTGAAGATGGGAGCCAAGGACTTCATCGTCACCAAGGAAAAGGGCTGGTCCGAGCCATGGAAGTTCCACTTCGACTTCGTCATCAACACCGCCGATGCCACCGACAAGTTCGACCTCGCAGAATACTTCTCCATCCTCAAGGTCAACGGCACCTTCCACATGGTCGGCTTCCCCGACAACCCGCTTCCCCCCATTCCCGCCCAGATCTTTGCCCCCAACGGCTGCTACATGGGCGCCTCGCACATTGGCAACCGACCCGAGATGGAGGAGATGTTCGAGCTCGCTTCCAAGCAAAACATCAAGAGCTGGGTGCAGGAAATCCAGATCAGCGAGGAGGGCTGCAAGGAGGCCGTTGAGCGCGTCTACAAGAACGACAATGTTAGGTACAGGATAACGCTGACGGGCTTTGACAAGGTCTTTGGTAAGAGGGCTTAGAAAACTGCAACAGACAGACACTATTATATACCCGCAGGCTGTCAGTGCTTCTATTACAAAAATATATACTGATATATTCTTACCATGACGTCATGTTTGCTACTATGCTCTGTTGTGTCACTGGGACTAAGTACATACAGCTTTCGTCGCAAACGCGAATCTAGCCAGTATAGATTTGATGCCAATACTATCCCGTAAACAAAAGTGATAGCGAACAATGAGATGGAAAGAAGTTCAAGAAAAAAGGTAATTCTAATTGGTATTCAAGATAAAACTCCAAAAACATGCAGCCCACTAATGTACACGCTTTGCTTTCCTACTCCTCCCCCTCTTAGACTTAAGCAACCTCTTCCACCATCTTCCCACTAAATGGCTTTTGCTGCGCCGCTTTCGCCACATCACCGGCAAACATGCTGCCAACAGACGCTTGTAGCCACTCCTCCGGGACGCCGAGCTGTGTGCCCTTTGCATTTTGGATGTAGCGGACGAAGAGGGGATTTGCGCGCTCGGGTTCTGGTTCTTCGGGGCCGTCTTCCGGGGCGTCTTGGGCGGCTTTGCGGCCGCGTTTTGGGGGTTGTTTTTTGAGGAGGCGGTTGATGGTATCGAGCTGGAGGAGTGGATTAGTGGATATTCAAATGGGATGTGCGGATTAATGGAAAGGGAGACGTACCTTTTCTTCCTCGTTCCTCTTCTCGCTGAGATTCTTTCTTCGTCTTGCCATTTCCGCCCTGCGCATAGCGTGCTCTTCTGCCGTGAGATGTTTCTTCTTCTGTGCTTCGTTGGAGAGAGCCAGGAGACCTCCGTCAGTGTCGTCGTTGACTAGCGCGCGTTGTCGTTTGGTCATCTTGGTTACATCGGGCGTTTGGTCACGGCTGAGTTCCTCATCGCTGTCCATTTCTTCGTCCATGTCTGCACCAGGCGTTACGCCCATGTCGTCATCGTCCTCGCCTTCAGCGTCTTCGTCTTCGCCCTCCGCATCTTCGTCGTCGAGATCCGAATCAGGGTCGCTCAGCTCCTCGTCATCGTCATCGTCCATTGCCATTTCTTTGGCCTCGACCTTGTCTTGGGCCTTGGTGGTTGTTCCGGCGGATGACTTGACGGGGATGCTTCGATTGGTGTTCACAACGATGCGTGGTGCTGGCGTATCCTCCATATCATCGTCCTCGTCTCCCTCTGCGTCCATATCTTCATCGTCGTCGTCGCCTTGGGCATCTTCGTTGTCCTCCGAATCCTCATCCACATCCATGGCATCGGCCTCGTCTACCTCTTCGTCCTCTTCTTCATCCTCTTCATCTTCGCTATCGACCTCCTGGACCACGCGACTGTTCCGTGACGCGCGCTTGCCCACGACTATGTTCTCACGGCTGACACCCGCTTTGGGTGCGGCACCGCCAGTGGCTTGCCTGAGCTTGTTGGGCGATGACTTTACTGTGAGGTGTATTGACTGGCGCGTCTCCTCGGGCGAGGAGCGCTGTATGGTAGCAGCCGCAAGTGACTGATTTGCCGTGCCGCGTCGCGGACGGGTCGAGGAAGCTGTAGGAGTGGCACTGTACGATGTTAGAGGAGCCGGAGCTGCGCGTGACCGTAGGCGAGGCATGGGTATGGCAATATGTGCGAGCAAGGCCGTCAAGAGAAGGAGAAGAGGAGAGCAGGTTAATGAGAGGGATGGTGATGGCGTAAGATGACCTCCGTGTGCCCCCGTGGCTCAAGGCAGGGGTGTTCGCGTATGTGTGTAGGCGGGTGGCACAAAGATGGAGGTGAAGGACAAAAAGAGGGCCCTGTGTGGCCCTGACAGCTCTCTACGGCGGTTGTCGTCCCCGCGCTGCCCTTGGCGATGGGTGCCAGCCAGCTATGCGTCGCGCGCGCAGTCAGCCACATACCTGCTGTTTCCTCGACCGTCCCATCCATCTCCCTCGGACTCATCATACTCGGTGCTTATGCGTCGCATCCGCTTAGCCGCACGCTCAGCCATTGCTGCGATCAAACAGGCGGTGGTATTATGTCTCGCGAGTGTTCCAATTGGCCGTTGCGACCACTTAACGCGTGAAGTTACTCTGCGCTGGCTCAACCTTCAGATGGAGAAGCGCCGGGATCTTCCCCAAGTCCTATTCCCGCTAGCCTCATCGGGCTAGATACTGGTCTCGCCCACGGTCACCAACGCACGCCGCATCACTTGCATCACTTGCATCACTTCCCTTGCAGACAATGAACATGACTCTTGCATTCGTTACTCGTCTATCAGCATCCCTAAGCAAGCGCTCCCTTCACACTCTCCTCAAAGCTCTCCTTTGGTATTCCAAGCTTGTCATTCCAAAGACCCAAGGGCGCGAAGTTGCCCAGCTCCTCCTTTGAAAATGTCACGCTCTGTAGCAGGTCTGGAATGGCCGAGAAATCTCCCTTCTGGAGCTTTTCGCGCGCTTGTGCAATGTGGTCTTGGACATTAACTTTCTCAACTGTCCACTTTGCACCCGTCACCTTCTCCGCCGCTGCCAGGATTTCCTTTTGTGTCGTCTGGAAGCCGCTGATGTACACGTACTGGTTCTTTGTCTGATCCGCATGCTCGAGAACCTTGACTGTTGCAACACCAATCTGGTGAAGATTCGTTGCGGAGAATGTAGCCTCGCCGTCATCGAACAAGGTGACAGTCTTGGAATGGCTTTGGAAGCCCAAGAACCCAACCTTCAGCCCCCAGTCAAAGAATGGACCAGTAGCTATACTCGTCCAGCTGATTTCCGCCTCCTTGCTCTTAAGATAGTTGACAACGGCAAACTTGGCCTCAAACACGGGTACAATCTCACGAGCTCGCTTGTCAGGCGTATTGCTTCCGTACTCTGAGGGGATGAAACGTTTCACACCTGCCGCAATGGCAGCGTCAATCAGCTTGTGCTGATCACCAAGTGCCAGGCCACCGACAAGAGATATCACAGCATCCTGTCCTTGGAAAGCTGCCTTGAGACTGTCCTGCGAACTGTAGTCTGCGTGGATCACTTTGACATCGGGAGGGAATTTGGAATTCGAGTTTTGACGTGAGAGCACAGTTGTGTTGAAAGAAGATTCTTTCAAAAAGGCATTCAGAATTGAGGGTCCTAGGTTTCCGCCCGCCTGGTACTGTTAGTATCCACTAACCAGGTGTATACGAGATACCTGCCCCGATGATGATGACGTTTTTGATCGACATGGTTAAGGGACAAGAAATAGAAGAAAGATGCAGGTGTGGGGGAGCTTTAGAAATGTGTGTGCAATTTTTGTGTTGGATGAGGGTGAGGTTAGTTGTACGATACGTACTCTCAGGTCTTCTTATCTTATGTCTGGGTACGCCTCAAGGAAGACGTGATCAAGCATCGCTATGGTGCATGTAAAGTGCCCCACATGCACTAAACCCACGGTGTCTCGGGATCGCGCTTCTTCCCGCACGCATTAATAATCCAACTTGCCTCTGGCAGTACAGCAAGGTCCCACTACGAGCATTCCTAGTCCTGTAGCGCTCCGAAAAAAGTAACCAATGGTGCGCCACCTTAATGAAAGTATCCAAGTGTACACCCCAGCCGCTTTGTCCCAAGCCTCTGATGAGGAGTGTGTACCCAGCCTCTCAGGTGATAGTGGCCGAGAGTCTCGCCGTCTGCTAACCGATACTTTGGAACTACCGCCCGATGGGTGAGATGGTTTAGAAATGATGGCTTAGCTGATGGTGGGGCCTGCTTAACAAATTGTGCGGAACTGAAACCAGGACAACCAGGGAAACCCACGATACGTTCTCAACCGAGGTGTTGGGTTCCGCGCGTCGACAAGAAGCCATAGGAGTAAATACCGACCGGACTAATGCAGCCGAATAAGCTGGTCAATGTTCCTCTAGGCATGTAGGGTTACAAGTAGTCAAGTTGTCAACTTACGAATAATCTTTCATTAGGCACTGTGTCGCAATGGCTGGTCGGAAATAATCACAGCAAACATTCACTAAGAACTCAGAAGCAGAGAAAGCGGTATTAAAAACCATCAAAGGCATGTGGGATATTATGTCGGGGGTGAAAAGGCCTCATAAATCGAGATCAATGCGTTGTCCTGATACACCATACTTTGGAGAAGTGACGTTTCTGTCTATATGGAATAGAGACTACAATTAGCTGGTTGGCGGTCTGCTTGACGATGACTTGGATATTTTAGAGCTTCTCCGTCTACATCTACACTGAACTTACACAATATCACCCAACCCACGCATCGCGCTGTTCATACCCAATGCTACAGTTCACAATGTCGACTATTCGGCGTATAAAAAAAGCGGATAACATTCTAGGATTACTATCCAAATACAATCAACATCAACAACCAAACCAAAAAGTACAACCTACGCAGAAATGACAAGCTTTCTTAGGAACCCCTCACTCTTCAGTTGTGGCTCCGTCTACGCAGAGGATATGCGCCGCCGATCCGAGCGACAGTGGATGCCAGAACCTAGGATTCCATTCCGAAGCCGAAGCCTGTCTCCTGCTTATACCAATTACACTTATGCTCAAGAAAAAGGAAATCGCCGGCCATACAATACAGAAACACGTGTTCCGTCTTCTCCTTTCAGTCGTCATGGTTTCACACACACAAAAGGAGACCGTCATCCATACAATACAGAAGAGCGTGTCCCGTCTTCTCCCTTTAGTCTTTATGGTTTTGCGCAAGACAAGGAAAACCGCCGTCCATCCACTGCAGAGTCACGTTCCTCGACTTCGTCGCCCTGTAGTCCCGAGTACTACCTCAAGCAGCCTCGTACAAGAACACATCGAACATACCAGGCAGAGGACAGAGTACCAAGTCCCAAGTACAAGTGCGAGTATGAGTATGAGTACGAGTCTGTGGAGTTCATACAGATGCCATGGGGGACATCGTATCAGTATTCCTACGGGTACCCTGCTGATCCACCTACACCACCTCATTCACCGCGCACAGGAACATACACTTCAAGCGGCAGATCGCGGAAAGCACATTACACAACTGAAGAACGTCGTCCACGTAGCGTTTCCCCCAAGCCCCGACGACAGCGTAAAAGTTCTAGTTCTCACCAGTATCCTCGCTCACCGCCGTCGGAATCCTACTCCTCGTATCGTGAGTCTCCTCCTGTACCTGAGGGCATTCAGCCTCGCAAAGATCTGTACGCTGTACTCAAGATCTCCCGTAGCGCTACGACCGACGATATCAAGAAGGCATATCGCGCTCTGAGCCTAAAGTGGCATCCTGATCGCTGCGCGAGCGAGGATCGCGCAAAGGCCACGAAGAAAATGGCCGAGATCAACCAGGCAAAGGAGATCTTGTGCGATCAGGGAAAGAAAGAGTACTATGATCACTTCGGTCTGATATCCAGTGACTTGTAGGCTACTCTGAAAGCAGCAGAGAGTTCGACAACCAAGTGACTTGAGCACCACTCTGACAGCAGAGAAATCATGACTCGCACACTACTTTGATAGTAGAGAAACCATGACTAGTACACCACTCTTATAGCAGAGAAGCAAGATACTGTACAACTACATATCATACATAATTATTTCCTTTCAGAAAAAGCACAAAATATAGAAAAATATAGAATAAAATCATTCCTTCAAGCCATAGGCACAGGTCTCAAATGCCCATCCTTGTCATACTTTGCCTTGAAAAACGTATAACTCAGTGTCACAGTCTCAATCCCCTTCATGTTCGGATCGGTGACAAACTCCGGGTCGATGTAAAAGAAAACAGGCATATCTACCGTCTCCCCCGCGTTCAATCGCTGCTCTTCAAAGCAAAAACATTGGATCTTGCTAAAATACGGAGCCACCTGGCCGGGCGTAACAGAGTACGTCGCCACGCCGATGATGTCCTCGGGCGATTTGTTGGTAGCTGTGTAAAACGCTAGTGCCGTTTCGCCGGGGAGAACGCGGACTTCGCGTTGCTGGGGCACGAATTTCCAAGGGAGCACATCGGAGACGGAGCCGTTGAAGGTTATGCGGATGCGGGGGTGGTTGGTTACTGGTTTGAGGCGCTCGGCGGGGTCGACGCTGGAATCGCCGCCGTGCGCGGCGGACTTGATGGGTTGGCCGCCCCAGCCGGTTTGTTGGCAGATCTTTAGGATTGAAGTTAGTGGGAGGGGAATTGGCAAGATGGGGAGGTGGTGTGGGGAGTATATACCATTTTGTACATGGGTACTGAGCCGTATGTTATAGCTACGAATCCGACTATTACACTAAATACATAGTTCCTGTTCACATTGAGTGATTGTTCCACCGGATTGAGTCCGCTTCATGCTCACATGACGGTTCGGTTCTTCATCTTGTATTGCGCGTGCATTTGATCCATTCGCGGTACGGTACCATGTTGCGCAGCTCTAGTGGTGTTTAAGCATTTTTGCACGGCGAAGGCGGGATTGCGGGCACGTGGTATCCTGGCGAGCGAACGGGAGCATGTTGAACATGTCCATAGGCCTATTTGCCGCGAGGGCAGCTGTCGTAGTGTTGACGTGAAGGACATTGTTGTGTGAGCGGAGATGCAGTGAATTGGTTGTCGAACCCTCGGTGGACTGGTGGAACTTCGCCGCGGGATTTAACCGCTTTAGGAATGTCTACAAGGGCAAAAGTTCTGGGCTGGTTGCGCGCGTCGTCTTTAACACTCCAGCACGGCCTATCTACAAGCCACCACTCATTTTACTCTTTGCGCATATATACCCTAATCTTTTTTTTCTCACTAAAGCTCAACAGCCTGGGCACCATGACGACGGTTCTCTGCGGCGTCTGCGAGACAGAGCCAAAGAAGTACAAATGTCCGACTTGCGCGCTTCCATAGTACGGCATACTCAGCTTCTCCTTAGGATAAAGAAACTAACATAGACAGCTGCTCATTAGCATGTTTCAAAACACACAAAGTCACACACCCAGAAGATGCCGTTTCGTCAACATCAAAACCCGCTGAGCCAACCATCCCACAACCACCACCACCCGCTCCCATACCGCGCTACCTCAAAAGCCGCACCGACTTCTCCACTCTAGCCACCAGCCCCAAATATCAAGACCTTCTAAAAGCAAACCCTATATTGCTCTCCACCCTCCAACGCGTCTACGCCAAGACCATACAACCAGACCCGGAAGACGAAAGACGGCGGCGCATGCTCGAAAGGAACATGTCTCGAGGACGAGGTTCAAGAGGCAGAGGAAGAGGCAGGGGAAGGGGTGGCAGGCATTGGGAGGAGAGAGAAGAGAGGTGGACACCTAAGAAGGGGGATAAAGATGCCATGGCGGTGTTGAAGTCGATTCGGGACGGGGAGGACAATCAAGAGGAGAAAGAGGCCATGGCACAATTTGTGGAGTTGGTCGACGAGCTTTTCGGGAAAAAAGATAAGAAAACTGGTGTTGAAGGATGAGCATCAACCTCAGCTACGGAATCGTCGAGACGGTATACGTTGTGCCCTTGACTTGTCGAATCAAGCGAGCTCCTACCAGATGAATGAGAAAATCAAAAGGAGCGTGGCTATCCGAAGAGCGGGGATTCCCAGCTGTTGAGCAATTCAGCGTATGCCAATGGGAATCGGATATGGATAGCGACGTATGTGAATGATCTGCCGCCAATAACCTGTCGCTCAGGTTTTCCTACCCCTTCATGGGCCATAAGCGTGGCTAATGGGGTTTCTGGCGCGTTACATGCCGGCTGAGAAGATCCATGAGCCAATGTATAGCACATACTCCAATATGTACCAGCTATAGAAACATGTTCGGACAATTGTAGCATGTCTACAAACTTATATCCGGTACTATCGTACCCAGTCTAGTTACAAATGCAACCAACCTCAACTCAACCATCCGGACAAGATTATCAGTGAGCCCTCGAGTCAACTTCTAACCAACTAATACTGTTACTGTCATAGTATGGATGAATCTGTACTGTACTTTTTTAGACCTAATCCTAGTGCTCACTTCAACGATGGTTATGCCAACCCACATCAAATTAGTGTTTTATTAAATTGACTCACGGGCTATTTCTCCCATCCTATCTTGTAATCTATTTTCCATTTAATTCAGTATATTAATCCCAAACTCGGCCAAGATAACTGCGTATCCTGACGGTGAACATATTGGGAAACAAAATGCTGAATCTGGTACTACGAGAACTGCGACTCGAACATCAGGACAAGAATATATGCCCAAGAGTTGGTTAGCTTCAGAATACCGAAAGCGACTGCAGATTTCTGAGCGTTCGAGTGGCTATTGTTTACTGCTTCATTGTCCACAAATAGCAGGAGACAACAGTCTCACAGCATTACCAACGAACCTTGAGAGGTAATGGATGTTTCGTTGTACTAAGGCAAACATCTAAAGGTGTTGAGACACTCACAATGTGCCAGAAAGTGTGCAAGTAGCAATTTAGAGACTCGCCTCTGAATCAGTGTCTTTCTTCTTTCCATAGCACCTTAAGTTTGCTTCCAAAGATATGTCTTATAGGCGTAAAGACGACATCTAAAAGGAGTAATTGTCATTATTCTAAAAAGGCGCTCTTACCTCGCATGGGAGATGTTTATCGGACAGAGAAGAGTAAACTATCATATCCCGTGCCCTTCCCAAGAAAGCCACTCCTGTAAGTGTCGGGTATCCTCAAAATAATAAGGATATCCTGGGTTCAGAGAGTCGCCTGCCTTTATAATCACGTCAAACGCTCCGCCCACCTGGTTCCTTGCTCAGACATCAACACTTTCTCGTCAGCGATGCCGAATAGAGAGTCTATGTTCTTCCCAAAGCATACTCATCTGGCTAGCCCCAGACCAACCCGCTTCATGGATGGCACCAGTACAGTACGCTTCATGGAACAAAACCTTACCGTGCCGGAGTCTACCAACAACCGTGAACTCCATAAGTTTACACCCATCGTACCCAAACAGCTCTACCTCAACCCAAACGCAGGTGCAGCCTCACACTGTACCAAACGAAAGTCACTTCCCCATGCAGCACAGGATCTAGCACGAACAGTAAACAAAAGAGCTTCGCATCACGACAACGGCGTCTTACTCCCGCCCCTACCTATACATCGTAGCCCCGACATACCCCACCGAACCATACGCTTCGAAGATTTCGTGCCAGAGCACAAACTCAAGACATGGCACGAGATGGACGACGACAAGTGGCGGGATGCACGCACAAATTCGATAAGTATCTTGATCACCAACATCATTGATAAATTCAGATACCAGGTTAGGAAGATAACACGGTACACAAGTCTCTGAACAAGCATGATTTGGTTATTAGGCGACGCATAGTTTCATAACCTTGTGTTGTATTCGTATTAGAAAGCAATGGACTTGAGTCTAGAAAGTAACGAAGATTGCCCAACATTAGTCGATTTCAACGCATCAATAGACGTCAAATTAAATGAACATATACACACATCTAAAAAAAAAACTACAAAGTGGGTGGGAGGATTTTGAGAACAAAGGGATATAACGTGGTTCACAAGCGAATCGCTCACCCAAGCGAATCGCTCGCGCCCCACCAGCGCGATAACTTCAACACTATAACGCGTCATGTCTCAA